TGTTCTCCGGAGCGACGACGGAGCGGTTCGTTATTTAGCGCAACGTGGTTACGTTACAGACACGACAGTTTACGATACGGTATCGCCATGCAGATAACGATCGCTCCGCGTACGTATCAGCGGCGCTTTTGTTCCCACGGTTTCCGCGACGTATACAAATTATCGGGGGAAATCGAGCGGCGGAGGGGAGCCTCCCTCGCCAAGCCCCCCGATCGCGTTACAGAGTCTACTTACGGCGCAGGAGCGCAGGACGAAGAAGAAGGAGAGCGGCGCAACCCTTTCACCGCGCCTGTCCGGTCCTTCAATCGGCGCCGCCGAAATTCCGGCCTCGCCTGCCCAAATCGCCGCGTGTCAAGGGTCAAACTACCGTAATGGCAGAGCGGCCTCGGGATCGGGTATCTCGTCTCTCGCGGCTTCGTCCGATCTTAGCGACGACTCTCTCGATCCACCGAGAGGCTTGGCCGCTCCTCTCGCGGCTTCTTCAATTTTCCGCAAAACATTTCCCATAAAGAGGCCCCGCTCTAACGGAGGCCAGGCGAGGCACGATGCACGTTGCACGACGCCGGTGATCTCGACCAACGTCGCTGTCAACAGCAACACGCGATCTCGCGTCCTGCGGCTGTCGGGGATATTAATCTCAATGTTCGATCTTGGGATTTTCAGATTGATGTAAAATTGCCGTCGGGACGCAGTCGTGCGGTACAATCTTGGGGTAGGCCCTGAGCGTGACATTTCATTAGAATTTCACACTTGTATTATCCCGCGCGTGCGCGCAGAAATACGCGTCAAGTATATTATAAACCATACATTACAGACTTAATGTCCGACAATTTAATAACCAGGACACCGCGATGCCATTGCTGAAAGGTTAAACGAGAGACCGACGCAATCCCGATTGTGACTCGAGTAAATTGCGCTGCAAAGAATCGTACGAAAGTTTTATTAGGAGTGTGATTTAGTTTCGAAGTTCTTTTTTTTCTCAAAACTTGATTCACTCAAACACGATAATGAACGAATATCGATCAAAATATTTTCCTTCGGTCTCCACAACTTTTTTCCATCTTTCTGGATCACTTTGCGTCGTTTACTCGCAATTGGTGATCACTTTTGGTCCAATGCTCGCTTCAATTTGTATAATTGTTGTCGATAACGATCAGCGGTGACAGTTTCATTCGGATCTGACAGTTCATAGTACATAACACCTTCTTGATCCCACCAAATACACAGTAATACTTTTGAACCGTGAATATTGCGCCTCGAAGTGGATGTTGCTGATCGGCCTGGATCGACCCATGATTTTTTTCGTTTGGGATTATCGAAATAGATCCACTTTTCACTCCCAGTATAACAATTCGATATTCGATAAAACTTTTCATTTTTTGTCTGCCGACCATCACGAAATGCAAATGTTCAACTGGCTTGCAATGGCATTTTCCGATAATTGATGTGGAATCCATTTTCCTTCCTTGAGAATCTTTCCCATATCATGTTTAGTAACTGTTGTACGATCAACATTTAATACTCTGGCTAGTTTTGAAGTGGATTGTGCTGGATTTTCGTCCAATTGCTTGCGAATCTGCATTTTCAAGCTTTCCTGGTCGTCTTGAGCGATTTTTGTCGTTAACATTGAAATCACCACTTTTGAATCGTCCAGATCAATATTCACATGTCTTAATTGATGGACCAACATCACCCAAGTTTCCATCAGAATTCTATGACCTTCAGCCGCGCGCCGTTTTCTTCTGATTAAAAAACAAAAGCAACGCGTGTCGAGGATGCTCCTTAGGGAACTCCATTTTTAAGATGCTATTAACACGATTTTTACTGCGTCTATCGTTAATAAATGACTAAATATCACGGATTAATATTAAAGCACTAAGAGAGAAACAATAGCTGCGATTGGAACATCTTCGACAAAACTGACATTAACGCCATCTCATGCGAAAACCTTCAAAACTAAATCGCACTCCCAATACTTTCCGTCGGAGCAAACTTTCGCGACTCTTCCTTCTCTGCCATGTCGCGGAGTACGTGCGCTTCGCTCAGCTATCGAAAGGCTGCGCCGCGAATTCGCCGTAAATAAATCCCGCGGAGCGAATAGAGCCGCTAAGCTCGCCCTGCGCGCGAGGTTTCTATTTGCGAAACGCCTATTAAGCCGACGTAATACCGCGCTGTGCATCATTATGCGCTTCATACATCTCCCTGTCACAATCTATCTTTCTCCATCGTTCTTTCTCTCTCTCTCTCTCTCTCTCTCTCTTTCTCTCGCCCTCAGCTGCCTTTTTCCCCGTAATTTTCACTTTATCGTTCGCCCAACGCGTCGACAACGCGTCGCGGACACCTCCTGCGCTCCGAAAAGGCAAAAGTCGGATTCGCGTCTTCATCCTCGCAACGAGGACGATGCGGTACGCGCCGAAACAGATCAGATTAACGCGTGAGGTACTCCTTTGCCTAAAACACCAATTACTCGACTGATTCAGTCCAACTGAATAACATCTCGTTACCAGTTGAACGTAGGGATGCTGATTTTAAATCGATTTAATCGAAGATCGATTAATCGGAGCCCAAAAGATCGGTTTCAAATCGATTTTCTGGAACTGAATCGATTCAAGGATCGATCTGTAAATTCTGAAAATCGCCAACATGATTTTTTCAGTTTCTACTAGTAATATAGTTTTCTTTTTACTTCTTTTGGTTGTAATATTTGAACTCACTCGATGGTTGCACAATGCATATTATGTTGCCTTTAGACCGATGTCCCATGGGCGAGAATTTTCAGCGAAACGAAACGCGCGAACCAATCACAGCCACTCCATATAATAATATACATTGTATACATATGTATATGCATATAATAGTAAACGTGATTTCTTATTTAATAACGTTTAAAACCCTTGATTGACGTTTAATCAAACTAATTAAATCCTTAGCACAAAGATTTAAAGATCTTTTTCTATTTTGTTCTCGCCACACACACACACACAAAACACAACCAAAAGAATACCATATGTTTAATTTCTTTAATTCATATTAAAATTTAATTTCTTTAATTCATATTAAACTATGTGAATTACACGAGATCTACTTTGGAGTGTAGAAATTTGACAGATAATATACTTTAATGAGTGGTTCACTCTACATGCATTCCGATTCAGATCGATTTTCTGAAATCGATTCTTTATAAACCGATTTTTTAAAGATCAATTTCTTTCTTCGTGATTCGAATCGATCTTTAAATCGATCTGTTTGAAAAAAAAATCAGCATCCCTAGTTAAACGCGTCAACTTGTACTTTTCCATCCCTCCCGCGCGTCTCACATGGGGAAAGTCCGAGATCGTGCCGCACATTTCGTCGGGTCTCCATCGGCAATCAAGTCCTCTCGCTTTTTACGGCTCTCCGTCGTGTAAAATTAACATCGCGCCCGGGCGATGTTAATTATTCAAGTACCTCCTCGGCTTCTCCCCGGGACGCAGCTTACGCGCGCGCGCGTTTCGTTTCCTCTGTCGAAACTTTAGTCGCACAGCCCGAGCGAGCCTTTTCCCGCCCGCCACGAAGACTCCTTCTCGACGTCGTCGACTTCATCGCTTGCGAAGCACGCATACGCGTCCGTTAAGTCGACGTAATACCGCGGGGCGCATCATTATGTACTCCATAAGTCTCCGCGGTCACCCCCCTCCTCCCTCCCTCCCTCCCTCTAGCTCTCTCTCTCTCTCGTCTCTCTTGTCCCCTTCTCTTCTCCTCTGCGCTCTCCACGGGCCCCTCTCGCTCTCGCGAGGAGGAAGAGGAGCAAGAAAAAAGGAACGAGGAGAACGTGGGGACGAAGGGAGTCGAGAAGGTTCCCGCGCAGGAAAACGACGAGGAGAAGGGCGAGAGGAGAGGGGGTACCTCGCTCGCTCCCCTCGCGAAACCCGGATACACTCGCTGCCGGGCCCTACACCACCCCCACCTCGGTCCGTCGGGTCCTATGGACCTCGCATAGGGGCACGGAGAGAGAGGTGGGGAGGGGGGAGAGGCTGTACACCGTCTCTCGAACGCGCGACGTTCACTGCGAGCGAGCGAACGAACTCCACGGAGGGACGAGGGGGGCGGGAGGGATAAGACGAAGCGGCGAAAGGGGGGGGGAGGCAGCGGTAAGTAAGGGGGTCTTGCTTTTTCGCTCAGGGTCAGAATCGTACATCACCCGCGCGCCGTGCAATACAGACTGACGATCGGCCGGATTTCTGCGTGCAGTGTGTTTGCGCTCCCCAATGAGAGCATAATTTTCTATCGCGCTTAATGCCGCGCGCTGCGGATGATACACGCGCTCTCTTGCGCCACTAATGAGACGATAACCGACGGATTTACCGTTGCCGGCCACCCCCGAGCGCCCTCCGGCTGACCGCGAGCTTCCGTCACGGATTTAGCGGGCCCGATCGACGGCGACGCGACGACGATCGCGTCGGGGCTCAAATATAAATAGAACCTCGGCGATTAATTGCGCCGGTAATGAGCGTTTATTGTCACGCGAGTGGCTTGAATGGAAAAGCTCGCCGGCGTCGAAATAAATGAGCGACTGTGAGCGTGAACATTGCGTATGACAGAGTTTCTCTCTCTCTCTCTCTCTCTCTCTCTCTCTCTCTCTCTCTCTCTCTCTCTCTCTCTCTCTCTCTCGCTGCCTTACTGTTGCGGCGCTCCAGTTTGAGAGGCAGAAGGGGGGAGCCGACGACGACCCTGCGGTGACCAATTTTGGACCGCGCGGTCACGTTTGGTAGTCCGGAAACGATTACACTTTACGTATCGGTGACGCGACGCCCGCGGAATTTCTATTTGCTCCTTTCGGCTCGGCCGAACTCGGCCGACTTGAAAGATCGATATCGAAGAAAAATTCCTTCTCTCTCTCTCTCTATCTCTTTTTCTTTTTCTTTTCTTTTTACAAATTTAACCATTCGCTCTGACGAGCGTTTCGGAGGCACCGAGACCGCTGTGATTCGGCTGATCGTTCTCTCCGCTTTGTTTTGCAGATCCGACGAGGACGATCCGAGTGGTTGTAAATACAGGAGACTGGATGACGACAACGTGCAGGACAAGGAGAGGTTTGCCAGGTGAGTCTCAGGCCTGATCCGACAGCGCCATTGTTTCCGGAGCTTCGCGAAAGTTACCTCCGCGTTACACTTTTCTCCCCCTCCCCCTCCCTTTCTCCCTCCGCCTCCTCCTCGCCCGCCCATCCGATCGTCTTCCTCCGACGTTGTTAATTCGCATCACGAAGCCGCGGCCCAATATGTTTCACCGGTACACCCTGTACATGCCCCTTCTCGAGAGTACGAAGGTACATACATACCTACATGATACCGGGCAATGTGAGGAGCCGATAGCGGAATGGGAAGCCCTCGAGGCTGCTCCAGCGTGGGAACATAAGGTACTTATACGCGCGCGAGCGCCATGGCGTCCTTCAAGTCGGCGTACGAACGAAAGACACGGCGCTTTGATTCCCTTCCGAGATATTTCGGCCGCCATGGCATTAAATTCGCCGGACAAAAGCCGGAAAATAATGTACAACGTGAGATGCATAACATATACGCGAAAGATGGCGGCTGGCTCCCACGACGTCGAAGTCCTCGGAGGAAGGAATCTGCGGCTCTCGTGCATGTTTCCGAAAAACCTCGCGCGAGCTCCTCCGTTCATTTTCTTTCGTTTTTTTCTCCCCAGCGCTCTCTCCCCCCCCTTCCCCCAAGTGAGTTACGCAACCGCGGCGGACGAGGAATTAATAATTTCGGCTCAGCGGCTGCTCTCTCTTAGCGAAGCCGCTAAGACGCGACGCGAGCAGTCTGCATTCCACTAATTAGAAACCGCGACGAGTCTCGTCGGCCTGTCCGCGGCCGAAGATCACCGTCGATTGATTGACTTCTCAATAGACAGGGGGGGATCGGAAAAAATCCCTCGCGCTTCGGAGAGAGGCCGAGGCTGCCTGCCTATACGTGTAACATTGATCGCTCGTGACTCAGCCCCGTGCTTTGTGTAACGTGACTGTGTACGGCGTTACGTCTCTATTAAGCCGGGCCCACGGTGCTTTCCTCTACCTGATGTAATCACGCCGCGGAGCCGGTCATAGGTAACGTACGAAAGACGACCTCGTCTCGGCGCAATTATGCCCGTCTCTCGTCAAACGAACGTCGTCGTCGTCGACGGCGACGCGATCGCCATTGATAACGCGTTGTCCAAACGCGATCACTCGTATGATTCGAGCACAGGAACCCCTCCCCTCCCCTCCAGAGAGAGAGAGAGAGAGAGAGAGAGAGAGAGAGAGAGAGAGAAAAAGAGAGAGAGAGAGAGAGAGAGAGAGAGAGAGAGAGAGAGAGAGAGCACCCTGTTACTTTTTAACGCCGGCCAATCCGACGAGCGACTGTGTTGATCCGCCGTAATAGCAATAACGACATCTTATCCGCGGTCTCTCATCGCGTGCCGCCGGGTGGATCCCCGGTGGTTCACCTGCAATTCCGCGTCCGCGCTGTCGTTTCGCAGGTATATACACGGTGCCGCGGAAAAATGCGCGGCGAACACCGGCCGGCAACGTTCTGATGTCGCGCGCTGTCTCTCTCTCTCTCTCTCTCTCTTTCTTTCTCTTTTGGTCTCTTCCCGTCTCCTGCTCTCTCTCGCCTCTTCTCTCTCTCTCTCTCTCTCTCTCCCTTTCTCGCCCCCGGTTCTCTCTCGAGAGAACCTCACTTTTAAGTTAATAACGCAATTACTGCCTCCTGCCGCAAGACGCGCAGCTCGCGGCCGTCCGTTCCTTCTCTCGTTTTCCTCTCCTCCTGCCCGCCCCTCGCTGCCGCGCCGTTATGCCAACCCCTATGCCGCGCATTTCCTCGGCATTAATACAGGCACCGGCGCGACGATAACCGCGAAATAACGTTGTCGCCGCTCTCTCGCTCGTCCTCTCGTCGCACGGCCTCCAGAGGGGAGCGCGCCATCTCCGCCCCCGCCGTCGCCGCCTCGTGTTTCGTCGCTCTCTTCAGCGCCCTTCCTGTAACGCTAGTCGACCCTTCGTTCCGAAGGACTTTGTAGCCCCGGTGCTTCCTCGCAACGCGGATCCTTTCCGTCGAATCTGTCGTTGATTGAAAAAAGAAAGAAGAACAGTCTCGTTTTGCTCCGCGCTGCTCCGCTCGCGACGAGCGTCGCTTAAATCATCCCTGAACGAAGACGTTATAATCGCGCGTGAGACGGCAGCGCGCCAGCTCATAAATTTCCGCGCTACGTATTTACTGCTGCGAACGAGTAATCGCGAAAGCGCTCTCTCTCTCTCTCTCTCTCTCTATCTCTCTCTATCTCTCTCTCTCTTTCTCACCGGACACGCGTTACAAACGACGACCGTGGCCGGATTTACAGCGGCACCGTGTTGTCACCCCCTCCCCTCTCCTTGCGACGGCCTCGCCGCAATTTCTTTTTGCTCCACGCTGCACGTGCATTTACAATCGAGGGGCTCCGACACTCCAGTTCACGCCATTTTATTGGGTTGTTTAAAAGTCATTGCGTTTATTTCCGATAGATGGCTTTAGTTATATATTTAATGTATTGAACGCATCTATAAATTCATGAGCGCCCACGTTTGATGACAGCTGACACTTATAGCTTCCATCAAGGAAAAAATGCGCGAATCGATCAACAATTATTCTTTCTACAACATTTTGAAAATGGAGAGTCAACACGAGCATTTTCACCAAGTTTTACTTTCTTACTTCCGAGAAAGAAAGAACGCTGTGCAGGTTTATGAAAAGTTATCTAAAGTTTATGGTGACCAAGTCCTAAAAGAACGCCAGTGTCAATTGGTTTGCTAGTTTCCGTTCTGGTGACTACAGCGTGAAAGATGCACCTCGCTCAGATCGGCCATCGGAGGTTGATGATGATAAAATAAAGGCATTAGTTGAAGCTAATCGACGTTCTACCATTCGTGAGCTCGCTGAGACACTAAAAATATCGATTGGAAGCGTTTACCTTTATTTGGAACAACTTGGTTACGTCAGTAAGCTCGATGTTTGGGTCCCGCATGAACCGAAAGAAGTTCACCTCATAAAACGCATAGACATCTGCGATCAACTTCTGAAACGTGAACAGTCCGACCTATTTCTGAAATGCATGATTACTGGTGATGAAAAATGGGTTGTCTACAACAATGTGAAGCGAAAGCTATCATGGAGCAAGCGCAATGAACCGGCTCAAAACACATCAAAAGCAGACATCCACCAGAGAAAGGTGATGGTCTCAATCTGGTGGGATTAGAAGGGTGTAATGTTTTTCGAGTTTTCTTACCAAAGAATGCTACGATCAGTTCGGACATGTACTGTCAACAGCTCAACAAATTGAACGAAGCAATGGTAGAAAAGCGGCCAGAATTGATAAATCGCAAAGGCGCAGTCTTCCATCATGACAACGCTCGACCACACACAAGTTTGATGACTCGCGAAAAATTATCGAATCTTGGTTGGGATGTGTTGCCTCATCCACCGCATTCGCCAGACCTTGCGCCATCAGACTATCATTTGTTCCGGTCCTTGTAAAGCTCCTTGAGTGGGAAAACGTTCGCTTCAGATGACGTTATCGAAAGGCACTTGGTTCAATTCTTCGCTAATACAGATGGGAAGTTTTCCGAGAATGGGATTACGAAGCTTACTGAAAGATGGCAAAAAGTCTTAGAACAAAAAGGGGAATCATATCATTGATTAATGTTCATTCTTTGTATAAAATAAACGACCTTGAAAATCACCGGAGAAAACGCAATGATTCTTTGAACAATCCAATACTTCGATCGCGTTCGACGGCCAAGTGTGAAAAAATGGCAAGGAAGTCCGAAGCGAAATCCGTTGGGGTGCATTATCCTCATTTTGGTCCTCGATTTTGGAATCGAATTTTATGCGAAAAGATAGTTCATGATGAGACATTAATTACAGAAAAGTTTTACGTTGAGCATACGATTGGTTTCAAAGATGTAGAGGATCAAAGTGGTCACTACCTACTAAGAAAGTATGATACCAATAACGCTTTAACGCACGAATTTTTGCAAAATTTGGTATTTATGGGTTCTTTGAGTTACTGATTATGAATCTGATGTCAGATTTTAAAAATTCAAGATGGCAGGCGGACACACATAGTGAAACAATCATTTACTTTTATTGGAACTGTTATGTTGTGGTTTTTTTGGCTGATTGCGAATTTTCTATTAGGGTTTTTGAAAGCAATTTTTTCAACGACAATTTTTGAGTGGAAAAGATATTTTTTTATCGTTTCTTCATAAAAAAAATATCAAATTCAAATTGATACATTACGTGACGCATAAAGGATAATGTGATAGTTTTATTTGTTATATTTAGAAGCTTATCTTGCCTTCATTGGCTGGATAACTTTTTCATCTTGCCTACACTAAAGGTAATATAAGGTAAATATAAATCTGACAGAAAATTTGCAATCAGCTAGCCGAAAAAACCACAACATAACAGTTCTAATAAAAGTAAATAATTGCTTCACTATTTGTGTCTGCTATATTACATCCGCCATCTTGAATTTTTTAAATTCGAATTCGTAATAAGCAACTCAAAGAACCCATAGATACTGAATTTCGTACAAAAATTCGTGCGATAAAACGTTATTAGTGTCAAACTTCCTTAGTAGGTAGTGACCATTTTGACCCTCTATATCTCTGAAACCAATCGTATGCTCAATGTGAAACTTTTTTGTGATTAATGTCTTATCATGAGATATCATTTCGCATAAAATTTAATTTAAAAATCGGGGACTGAAGAACGGGCACTTTTTGTGGAGGTTCTTTGCCAAATGGCTGAACAACCGCGCGCCCCCGGGCCTCCGTCTCGAAATCGACTCTTCTCGACTCGCGAGAGGACGCCCCTACGTCTCGGTGTTAATTCCGCGGGAACAACTCGCGCGTAACCCCCCTTCGGGAGTAATCTCCGTCGAAATCTTCAAATACACTCGGAAGAGAGCCCGAGTGCTCCGCGGAAGCGCTAATCGGACGCGGCGAACGATCATACCGCGGCTGAGCCGCGGCAGAAGTTTGCGACGGGATGTTCCTCGCGCGAGTCTCGGAGAGTCGCCGCGA